ATATTTAACCGATACTGTGTTTCAATTTCATTAAATTCACCGTTTACCTGTTCAATTGAACGTATCCATGTATCAATACGTGTAATTTGACTTTTCGCGCCTGTACGAATTTTCTTAAAGTTTTCCATTTTTTAAAATAATCAGATAAAATTTATATATAAGCTATTATATTGTTGCATAGAGAGAAATTTGATTATTGAATTTGTTACCTTAAAAATTTTATTAATACATATAAAAAGAATTTGTCGAAATCTGTACCCCTTTTCTTAAATTTAATACACTACAAATAAATAAATATAGAAATTCGCAACTTTTCCTTTGCGATGAACTTTATGAAACAATTTGCTCAAATTTAACAAAATGTGAAGAAAAAAAATATTTTTAATAAGAATCAATATCTCGTAGTTGAATTGTAAATTGGAAATAACGAAAAAAATAAAGATAAAAAAGTTTGAAAGGACCGTTAAATTGGAAATAAAGAAAAAATAAATATAAAAAAGTTTGAAAATACCGTTATTCTTGCTTATGGCTTGTAGATTTCTTTAGAGATGATTTCTTGATTTTGCTTTCAATTCTTTAGAGATGATTTCTTTCGTCTAGGGGGTACCACGGGCTCGGTACAATCCTGTAGCGCCGTGATCTTTTTTCTTCTAATCAAATTTTTGCTGATTTCTTATTCGGCTCTGAAGGACCATGTCGGGGGGCGAAGATCTGCCTCAGCTTTCTGCTCGTAGACCTCTCACCTCCGTCGTGTGTTTACCCAAAGCAGTGGACTTGCTTGAAGTAGTCGTGGAAATTACACTCAAATTTTCTTATGTTTGGTTTTATTCACAGCTTTATTTACATGTATTTAACTTATAGTATATGTAGTTACAATGATGATGATAATGATATTAAGGCATTAGCAAGTTCAAGTTTCTTTTTATGTAGTATTTAGTAAATTAGTAAATTATTTTTGCCCCAGCTCGTAGCATGGTAGCAGTGTTGAATGAACGGATGAAAGCAACGCGATATAATGCACTGGTGCAAGGTGCGAATGCAATGGCTTATTTTCTGACATATGCCGGTTATATAGTCGACTGTTGCTAAGCGTCTCTTGCACTTATGGAGGGGTTGAACTGACCGTGTCTCACATCGATATCGGTTTTACCAATGAGTGCAAGAGAGCTATTTAACGTTTTCTAGTTTTGTCTATGAACAGAAGAATAATGTTTTTCGTCGTAAGACTGTTTAGTAATTTCTAAAAATAGATTGTGAGCTTTGGTTTTGTTGAAGACTGCTTTGTAATTTCTAAAAATAGATTGTTAGCTTTGTGCACAGGGGCGGCTTTCAGATAAGTTGATTATTATAAAATGTTTTAAATAAATTGGACAATATTGATTTTTATTATAGGGTGATGCTTTAACTTGTTCGAACACCTTTGATTGGTTTTCGAACAATAAGATCATCTCAAACAATTCGGGTTTCGAGACGGGCTCTCAACAACAGATGCGATCTGTGAGTTGTTAAAAAAAATTTATAGTTCTGTTAATTGCAAAAATGTCTAGCATGTCTAGCAGTTTTCCTGGATTTGGCCAAGGCCTTCGACACTGTAGATCATAGACAGTTGTTAGAGACATTGAAAGATATAGAGGTACGTAGGAAAACTTTTGACCTTTTTAATAGTTATCTGAACAATAGATTTCAAAGAGTTAAAATCAATAATAAAATCAGTGACGAGAGGCCAATAGATAGCGGTGTTCCTCAAGGAACTATATTAGGTCCCACTTTATTTACATTATATGTAAACATTTTATATAATTTACAGACCACAGGAGAAATAGTAAGTTTTGAAGATGACACTGTGATTTTTTATGAAGCAGAAACTTGGGACGATCTAAAATGGAAAACTGAAAGAAATTTAAAGAAAATAATAGACTGGTGTTTCCATAAAAAATAAACTATAAACCACAACAAATCTTTTTTTTACCATTTGTCAGCTACTCTAATAATCTCCTCAATTTATTGATATTAGCTCAACTTATAATAAAAATAAAATAAAATTGGAAACAAAAATTGAATAAAATATTTAGGAGTTACCCTAGATTGTCATTTACGTTAGGACGCCCATAACAAATACCTTAGTAAACCAGAAAACAGCCCTCAAAACCCTCTCAGGAGTACAGAGGCTGGCATGCCTTTATATTACTGAGAAGTACACCGACAGCCTCTATGGAAATCATTCTAAACCTCCCACCCCTTGACCTAGTCGTAAAGGGAGAGGCCAGAATGAGTTCATACAGACTGGAAATCTTCAACAACTGGAACCCACTATGACATATGAAACATACCAGAATAACACATGAAGTAAATGATTCTACAGGGTGGGCCAGAAAGACGTACGATTTTAAGAACGCCACTGAATCCAAACGGCGCGGATCTAGTAGTGGGGGTGATTAGTTCGGTGTTCGGAAATTCAGTCACTATGGAGCGTTTCTCCGGTGAGCAGCGTACGTTCTGCGTAAAGCATTATTACAAAAATGACAACTCGTGTACTGTTGTGCGGCATTTATTTCGTGCCGAGTGCGGATTGCATGACTTAAATCAGTATCTCAGTGAAAGTGTGATCAGGTCGTGGGTCAGAAAGTTCGAGGCTACAGGTTCCACACTCAATCAGAAACCTGCGGGACGCCCAAGATCAATACGGCCGGATTATCAACCCGAAAGAGGTCAGCTGAGCTTGCCATATCAAGAACATCCCTGCGTCGAATTTTGGTAAAAGACCTAAAACTGCATCCATATAAAATTCAATTAGTGCAGGAGTTGAAACCCAATGACCATAACCTACGCCGTATTTTTGCTTAAACAATGTTGAAGCGCTTTCCAACTCTGAACAATATTCTGTTTTCGGACGAAGCACATTTTCACTTCAACAAACAGAACTGTCGCTATTGGGCAACAGAAAATCCCAAATCAAAACTTCAGAAACCACTGCATTTACCCAAAATTACAGTTTGGGCGGCTATTTCGGCACAAGGAATCATAGGTTCTTATTTCTTTGAGGACGAACGAGGCCAGACTATATCAGTAAATTCTGACCGTTACACAACAATGTTGCGCATTTTTTTCTTCCCGCAACTTCATCAATTTTAACCATTTAATGTGCGGATATGGTTTCAACAAGATGGCGCAACATGCCATACGTCTAATGAGTCAATAGCGGTCGTAAACGAGATGTTTCATGGTAAACTGATATCGCGCCGAGGGGATATTCCTTGGCCTCCCAGAAGTCTAGACTTGACTCCTTGTGATTTTTTCCTCTAGGGATATTTGAAGGATTGCGGTTACACCAATAGGCCATGCAGGGTAATTCAGTTAAAGGAGAATATTCGTGAGAAAATGACTGCTATTCCACGCGCGCAATGTGTCAACGAGTTTTCTCAAATTTGAGGTTCAGATTCGAAGAGTGCTTACGTCGAGATGGCGCACATCTAGATCATATTATTTTTAAAAAATAATTTCCCATCTGTGTATTTTAATTTAAATATACACTCGTAATGATATTATTTTTTGTTTATTTTTCACGATTTTCTCATATCCACTCAACTTAATGGCCCACCTTGTATATTAAATATGGGATCAGATCACATGACACTCCTTCTAACCTTTAACAGACTCCTCCAGGTCAACTGTAACTGGAACGAGGTAAATAAGGAGATAGGTAAATACTTGCTTAGCGGTCTCGTATGGTATACGGATGGATCTAAAACTAACAGGGAACAGGCTGACGTACATGGAGTTAAACCCAAATGCGACATCATTGTCTCACTGGAGAAACATGCCACTATATTTCAGGCTGAAATACATGCAATCAAATTGTGTGTACGAGATAATTTAAGAAGGAAGTACAAAAAATAAACCATCCTAATTCTCTCAGATAGCCAAGCAGCTTTAAAGGCTCTTGATTCAAACAGAATCAAGTCAAAGCTTGTCTGGAACTGCCTTGGAATACTAAATGATCTGGCAACCCACAACAAGGTAAAACTAGCGTGGGTACCAGGGCACAAAGGTATCCAAGGAAATGAAAGGGCTGATGAACTCGCCAAAGAGGGATCAGACCATTTGGGATAAGCAAAACCTCTGCTCGACAGACAGTGAACAGGTGGATAACCACAAAACACCAAATTTACTGGCAACAGATAAGAGGGCACAGAATCAGTAAGCTCATGCTAAGGGGACCAAACCCACTCATGGCTACTGAGACACTACAACTCGCAAGGCCTCAGATATCCACCATTGTGGGATTACTAACGGGGCACTGCTTGCTGAAACACCTTCATGTAATGGGATTACACAATGATCCCTCTACGTGTAGACTTTGAATGGAAAAGGAAAAAACCTCATACCATGTAATCTTCGAAAGCGAAGCTGTTACTGGGCGACGTTTCATCCTTTTTGGCCTAGAGCGGGAAAGAACGCCAAAGGAACACTTGGTAGGGAACCTGTCAAAACTAACCAAAGACACAGGACTATTCCAAAGATAGTACCTGAATACGGGGGAAAGCAGGGGAATACAATAGACCCAAGAGGCCGCAGTGTTCTGTGCCAAACCTAACCCTACCTGCTTACAACCGATAAAAATAAAGATAACAAATACCTTAAGACTTCTCACCTGAGAACTATTTATTATACTTTAGTCCAAAGTCGTGTATAATACGTAATCGTCTGTTGGGGTGCTACAACCAAACACTACATAACCGAACTAGAAATATTACAAAAGAGAATGCTAAAACTAATACACAACAAAAAAGTTAGATACCCAACAGATGCATTGTTCGAGGAAGTAAAAATAATGGATATACGACAATTATACATACACTCAATTATAATTCAAATCTACAAAAATAAATAATTATTAAACAAAATTACCCACAACTATGATACAAGAAGCAAGGATAAAGGAAAAGTTGGTACCCACCTTGTAAATAAAACAATAGCACAACGTTTTTATATTTATTTAAGTGCAAAAATCTTTAATTATTATTCGGATATGTACAAGGCATATTTACAAATCATAAATTCTGTTGAACGTTTTAAATTTATCATCAAAAAATTTCTTATTAATTCGGATAGAAAATCCCAAAGAGAATTAATTGATTAAATATACAAGTACTCGAACTTATATATTATAATTTAGTTGTAATTTTATACTTTTTACTTGATATTTTTATTTTGTACATCTTTATTATATGTATTTTAAATTATGTGTTTTTTAGCTAATTTTAAATTGTTATTGTTCAGTAATTATAATTTAATATGTATTCATTAATTAATTTAATTTGATTTTATGAACTTATACACGTCAATCTTTAATAATGTAATCTACATATTAAAAAAAATTGTTTCAAAAAAAGTTAGTAATTTGGCAGCCCATGCGCAACAACATGGTCATAAATGGGCAGCAAATACTTCTAATGAATAAGGTATGTCAATTACATAAATGGTGAATAAAAATTATTATTATTTTTGTTTTTAATATTTTTAATATTATTAATATTATTATTAATATTATTATGTGTAAAAATTCGTCGCAATGTTCCTGGAATTTCGACACACCCAGTACATTACGCGAAATGCCTGGTCGCTAAGAAGATCACTCCTTACATCCGCTCGGTCAGTGATCTTCGGCCAAATTTAATTTCCTCAAAAGACGAAGGGACTCAAGGACCACCGCATTCTGCATCTTCACCACTAGTTGTTTTGATGAGTTTCGGCAAGCCGGTATTTTTTGTAGCTTCTTGGGCATAGTGTTTTTGATTCCCCTTAAAACACCCATAATTAGGACTACCATTCTTACACTATATTCCGGATACATTCTTTACAACTCGCTAATCAGTGGAATGTATTTGGCACGCTTTTCCCTCTCCTTAATAATAATTTTGGTTTCAGCTGGTACAGAAAACATTGAATGACTCTGTTTGTCCAACAGCACCAAATTGGGCTTGTTAGCTTGGAGTCTAGTTGTTGTGGGAAAATCGTAATTTCAATAAATACGGCAACTCTTATTTTCCACTACCGCTTCAATTTCGTCTGGGGTGTATAGCAAAACTGATGTCTCATTTATACCGTTGTGATGTCTCAGATGATAGTAGAGAACCCGCAATGCGGCGTTGTGCCTGTAGATGTACCCAGGCACAGCTTGCACCGGGCAAGCGGACAAAAGATGCATTAATGTCTCCAGGTATTGTTGGCATATTCTGCATCTGACATCCGCCATATGCGTTAATTGAGCGCGGTATACAAGAAGATGAATTACGCCATCTTGCCAAGCTAACAAGAATCCCTCTGTCTCAGACTTCAGGTCAGCTGATCGAAGAAAAGAGAAAGTAAATTCCCGTGATAGATTAAGATCTTTTCTATGTTCCAAGAGCAGCTGTTGTTCTGCTGCCCTAACTCGACGTTTTACTTGAGCGGGTTCCAACCTTGTGAGAGATTGGTTGTCGTCTATTTCAAATATGAGACCCAGTTCATCCGCTGCTTTACCTGCAGCCTTAAAAAGAAAAGCCCGATACCAGTTGTTTCATGGTCTTGAACCAGCTGCAGTAGTGGGTCCGCACTATTGGCTACCTTGCAAGCCAAGCTCTTCTGTTGTTTCTCTTTATTCTTGAAACTAGGTTAAGATGTAACTGAATTGGCTCTTTTTTAAATTTTATTATATATTTAATGTTACATTTTGATACATTTATGATATTTTGCAATATCTAGGGCTGTTATTCTTTTATTATCGAGTACAAAAAATGGATAGTAATAATTCTTCAACCATTCTGTATTGAGTGACGCAGGCTAGCAGCTACCTAACTGCTTCGTCCGGATTTGTGACGTAAATAACTATTCAAAATAGGAATTATGAAAACAAAGATAAATAAAATTGTCATACCTATGTGTAAAAATTATTTAGTATTAAAAAATGTATCATTATTTCTATTTCTACTAAAATTATTATTCCTTAATAATATTTAATTTTTATTATATTGATTAATGGATGTGCATATGCGTCTTTAGACATATACATACAAATAATTTTAAGATAGTGTCATCTTCTGAATCTTTATCGGATCTAACGTTACATTCTTTAATAATTTCTTCTATTTTATTATTGGTTATGGTTTTCAAATCAGTCATAGCTTGTTCTTTATTCAGTTTTCCATTTTCATCAAGTAAGCCTACTTTTTTGACCAAGCACATTATATGTTCACTCATCTCAAAACTAGTGATTTCATCTCCTGTACTTAATTTTCTTAATGTGTCATCACCAACAGCAGTTATACGATTTGATTGACATTCATCGTGGGCCATTAGAAATTGCTTTTCTCTACTGTTCCATATCAAGCCTTCTGTATAAAACATCTATAAAAAAATATGTAGTTTTAAAAATTTCATATTGGCACGACAATTTATGAATAGTTTGTCCTATACAAGATGGATGTTGCTTGTAGCTAGTTCGTTATTTGTTTGAGCAGTATCAAAAAAAAATATACGCATTTATTCATTACTTATGACCTAGAAAGAAATAATGAGTTAGAAGGATAAAATTTGGTTATCTAGATAACAAAAATCCCATTAAATATGATATATCTCACTTATTTCTGTTTCCAAATGAAAATATAATTATTCAATCGTTTTAAACCCGGATTTATTTACAACTAAAACCAAATGGGACAATGTAAGAAATAAGGATATAATAGGACTAATTAAACACGAGCCAATATTGTAATTTACAAGAATTAATAAAATTAAAAATATTTTTCAGTCCTAAGTTACAACTGGAGCAATCAATTCCAAATTTCTTGGAAAACTTATAAGTTTTATATAATTTGATTTAATGGAAAAACAAAAGAAAACAAATTTTTAGAGGGGTAGTTTAAGGAGGTGGGTTGGGTATTCTTATCCCTATTTTTTAATTTTATCTTTTAAAAAAAATTATTTCAGAAAAATATATTTTCATATTTTTTCCTACAAAAAAAAGGCATTCTTGTTTAAATGCGATAGAGTGAATCAGGTTTTAGCATCCCAGTCGACTGCTTATCGTAGATATAGAAAGAATATTATCGTCGTTGGAATAAGACGTAGCACTTCGATACCGTTCTTAGCAATCGATTTATAGCTAGAGCTGGGCACAGTACTGCATTAAAGTACTCATGAATACTTCAGATTGAGTACTGAGTAGCTTTACAAAGTATCTGAGTATGCGTACTTACATGTATAATACTCAAAGCAAATGAATTTTTTTGCATATTTTAACGAGTACTCGTGAAAAATCGGGTAACGCCTATGAGTACCTTATCTATTTTAAATAATTCTAGTTAGTGACTCTAATATAGAAAAAATAAATTAAAGTAAGTAACAAACAAAAAACGAAAGTATTACTTATTTTCTATAAATTAGTTAGCATCATTAACGTGTACTTCCAACTTTTCATTTTAATATTAAGGTAAACTAATAAAGGTATTACGTAGGGGCAGAGGTATAAATAGAGAATACTCAAAAGAACAGTCACATATATTAAAACGTATATACACGCATATAATGTTATGATTTCGTCATTTGGCATGTTCTTATCTTTTTCAACCTGTATCGTTCGCGTCAAGCGGGTAGCTAGGTTGTTTTCTTGGGGGGTAACACTTTTCACATTATTGGTGAATGCGCAGCGTGTTATCTTAGAAGATGGTACCAATACAACGTCTAGAGTTCATATGTGTATTTCCAGAAAAAAGAGAGTTTTATAATTAAGTTTTTTAATTTTTTATATATTTATACAGGGTGTTTGAGAATAAAGTACCGTAATTTTGGGGATTTGTAAATCTGAATCAATTATAAAGAAAAGCTAAATATAATTTTCCTATAAACGTCCCAGTTTTCATTCTACAGGGCGATAAAGTGAACTTCATAAATACATATTTACTAAATACCTTCCCTTACAGTAAAGACTTTAACTTGAAAATATATATATGATAGGTAATCGTTATTATTAGTTAACACACTATTTCGATAAATTACCATAACCCATTGGCGTAGAATGAAGGGCTAAAAAAAAATTGTATTCAAAACTTTGAACACCCTACATTTCATAAAACTTAAGATTGATAAATATTTCTCACGCCATTTGTCACAAAAAAGGGACTTCTGGTTGATCTAAGGTCCATTTGCGCCACTGGTCGTTAAGAAATAGGCCAAGCTTAAAATGACATTATTTACTCCATTGATAATGTCATTTTAAGATTCGCTTATTTCTTAACTACTAGCGGTGCAAATGGCTATTCCATTTCCAAGATGATAGAACTGATTTATTTTGTACATAGTGTTTTGAAACATATCTTAAATATGGCTAATTTTAAGTTCAATTTACTCAATTTTGTCAAATGCAACACACTGTATATTATTTTCGCATAAAATTCCTTATAAATTTACCTATCCAACGATACAAACATGTCTCAATAGTGCATAATTGATCGATAGCTGTTTTATTATTGGAAATAGGAAAAACAAATTGATATATAAGTTGTATGACCATGTTTATTAAATATTCCTAAATATACATAAACGAGGGGCTGACCAAAATTATACATTTTTATATTTGTTTTCACATCGTCAAACAACTTTAATAGACTTAATTTGTTTGCTGTGTTGTATATAGGGTGTTTCAAAATGAGGGGTAACGATTTTCTCATTTTTTAAATGAAATACCCTATATGTCATACCACCAATTAATTAATACAGGGTAATCCATTTAAAAATTGAGAAAATCGTAACCTCACGTTTTGACATACCCTATATACAACATAGCAAATGAATGAAGTCAATTAAAATTGTTTGACGATGTAAAAACCATCAACTATGTATTGCTACCTGCAGGGTGTTTTGCTTTAAAAAGTATAGATTTGGTCAGCACCTCGTTTATGGACCACTCTGTATATTTAAGAATATTTGTTAAATATGGTCATATAACTTTTATATTAAACATGTCTTCGTATTTCTAAAAACAGCTATCGATCAATTATGCACTGATAGGACACCCTGTATATGTGTTATTGACTAACACATTGGTATTGTTACATGGACACATTTATAGGGAATTTTATGCCCCCTTATCTACGCCCTTGGTTCACGTCGATAAAATATTTGTAATTACCCTGGGGGTGTGACGATGGTAGTGAGATTTTGAAAATTAATGAAATTGTTAGATATATTTTGGAAAGATTGACATTGGATTTTATAATTTTACAAAACAACGAACTGGGACACATACAGACGAAAAATTGACCAAACATTAACACTAAACAACAACATAACGAACACACAACAACTAGAACAAATCACAAAAAACTTCATAACAGTCGTACAAAAAGCTAGAGACGACTCGACTAAAATCAAAACGACAACACAACACAAAGACACTGCCACTGGAAATTATTGAACTAATAACTAACAAAAACCAAATCAGAAAACGGTGGCACAGGAGAGACGAAGACAGGGTTAGACTCATGGACATAGCGAAATATATCAACACAGCTATTAATGAACATAGAAATAATATTTGGCAAAAAACCCTGTCAGAAATCAATCCAAATGACAATTCACTGTGGAAAGTAGTGAGACGGTACAAAAAACCATACTCACTGCTACCCACTTTGAAACAAGGACAAGACTTATACACAACAGACGCCGAAAAAGGACAAGCCTTCGGCGAACACTTTCAAACGATATTTAGAAATAATAACATTAATAATGATGTCCAAAATAATATCGAAAACTTGGTAAGGGAACTAAGCACTTCTGAGCCGGTACACGTGCCACATTCATTTTTTACCACTCCTAAAGAGGTCGGGGAAACTATTAAACGTCTGAAAAATAGAAAAGCTCCGGGCCCGGATGACATCAGCAATATATTACTCAAAAACCTCTCAAGAAAGGGGGTTGTACAACTTAACTATATAATAAACACAATATTCAGGCTGCAACACTATCCTAGCAGCCTGAAGATCGCAAATATCATCCCAATATTAAAATCGGAAAATAACCCGACAAACATTGACAGTTATCGACCCATTTCGTTGCTTAACACAGTAGCAAAAATAGTCGACAAGATCATACTAAACAGACTCAACAAAATAGAAGACGAACTACAAATTATTCCGCAGGAACAGTACGGTTTCAGAAGCGGACACAGTACCGTGACACAGGTTATTAGAATCGTACATAGTGCCAAAGAGGCAACAAATAATAACCTGCAAACGGTACTAGTGGCTTCAGATAGTGAAAAAGCTTTCGATACCGTCTGGACCTGCGGATTAATTTACAAAATGCTTGTGAGTGATTGTCCCGTTCATATTGTAAACATAATACAATTATACATAACGGACAGACAATTTAATATAAAAATAAACAAGACAATAACAGGACCCTTCACTGCGTAAGCGGGAGTACCCCAGGGCTCAGTACTTTCGCCACACTTGTACACCATTATGACCCATGACATGCCAATGGGTGATAATGGGGTAAAAACGGCACTGTACGCCGACGACATCTGTCTTTTCGCGAATAACAGATCGGCAGAGATAGCAGTAAGAAAGCTGGACAACCATATAAGCAGGAAATTAATCCCCTATCTAACACAAAATAGAATGAAAATCAATGCTGCAAAAACTGAAAGTATGCTAATCACTAAAAGGCGAAGCCAGGGCATTCAAACCGCCCTGAGAGTCGGTGAACAAGAAATACCGACCACAAACAAATTAAAATACCTCGGCTTTCAGTTAGATAGGGGATTAACATTCGACCTACACATAAAAGACAGAGTGGCTAAAAACCACATAGCTATTAAAACTTTATATCCCATACTAAACAGAAGAAGCAAAGTCACTCTGTCGAATAAACTACTTATGTACAATACTATCCTACGCCCCATCCTTACATATGGCTGTCCAGTTTATTGCTCTATGTCAAACTGTCACTATTTAAAACTGCAAATTGCACAGAACAGATGCCTTCGGCTGGCGCTGGGCTACGACCGTTATGCCAGGATTATAGACATGCATAGACAAACAGACACACCAATGATTAAAGATTACATATTAAAAACAGCCGAAAATTTCTACAAACGGTGTCTTCCTGATGATGTCAGGGATAATATCCTAAACATTCACCGGGGAGATGGCGTGCGTAGAAAACACGGCTGTATACATGCAAAACTCGACATTTACAGACTAAGATGCTAGACTACACCATCCTTCCTTCCCAACATCGACAGAAATACTAAATAACAGCACTCCAAGACTAGATATTTACACGAACTAGTCGGACGTCAGACCGAACGATGAAACGACCGACAGAGCAAATTAAGCGAGCCATACAGTATGTCGCTAATGTATGGAATAAATTCATTATTTCTAAAATAATCGACTTTTGAAAAAAATCCAAAAACAGGTCAATTTTAATTTTTGAATCGTCATCACATGATGTAGATGTAACGAACATTACGTCACCAATATTACCGTGGTGACGTAATCGGCAATTTTTTTAAATGCAACCATGTGTCTCAAAACACCTCATTGGAAAGGTCTTCTACTCGTCTTTACAACGATGTAATTATTTGAATATTTATTTCTACAGGGTCGACCAAAACTGTTTTGGTCGACCCTGTAGAAATAAATATTCAAATAATTACATCGTTGTAAAGACGATTAGAAGACCTTTCCAATGAGGTGTTTTGAGACACATGGTTGCATTTAAAAAAATTGCCGATTACGTCACCACGGTAATACTGGTGACGTAATGTTCGTTACATCTACATCATGTGATGACGATTCAAAAATTAAAATTGACCTGTTTTTGGATTTTTTTCAAAAGTCGATTATTTTAGAAATAATGAATTTATTCCATACATTAGCGACATACTGTATACACTCGCAGCCTATGCTCTGGGGGCAGTTTCATCGATCACCAAGCCCGGAGGCTGTAATTTAAAACATAGACTATACAAGAGACCCACGTACATACAAGGACAACCCTGTTTTTTCTAGCTTTTTCAGGGGACAAAAACCAGAACAAAGACACGACAAATCCTCAAATAAATTCCCATTCATGATCCCAAAATCCAATAAAATCCCTTAATAATACCGTTCAGGTAAGGAGTAAGGGCTGCTATATTTTACAGTAAAATGAGTCAAAAATAAATTTAATGGAGGGTTACACCTACCTGGCCCTAAGGGCCCGCGCGAAAAACCCGCCGCTCGGGTTCGGTAGTGTGATATATTTTATTTATTATTTGACATGTAAATATATTTCTTTAATGTAAATAAAAGTTTTCTAAAGTAAAAGTAAGGATTTTAGAATTGTTAGTTGAAAAATTTAAAAATAATGTCAAAAATGTATAATGAAATTAGGATAGATTTTAAAAATGAAGATTTTATATTGTAGAGAGGAAATTAAAAAAATAATAAAAAGAAGAAAGATTTATTTAAATTAAAGATAAGTGTGAATGGAATAGGAAGAAGAACTTAGCAGAAAAGAGAAAGTAGACGCAAACAGCAAGAGGAGATCAGACATATAATAGAAGGTACAAAAAGTCAATAGTTAGATCAAAATGCAGAAGAATAGCGAGCAAGAAGAAACAAGCGAAGCGAAGTGTAATTCTTGCCCCATACATAATTTCTTTAAAATGGACCGTATTCGAGATATTTGTGAAAAAGTGTAAATTTTGAATTTTGAAGAAAACTCAAAAACGGATAAAAAAAACCTTAAAACTTATGCTTTATTTTGATCTGAAGTGAACAGATTAGATTTTGGGCATAGTCGAAACATCTGGGGGGTACTTTATAGAGGGTAATTTTTATATTTTATGAAATATATTTGTTATTTACGTTTGGAGAGGAACATTTTTTAAATAAAAGTTACTTCTAATATTATTCTTTATAATTCTTGTTTTATACAAAATTTTTCTAAATTGGTCCGTATTCGAAAAATTATACAAAATCTAAAAAAATCTGATTTTTAAGAAAATTGTTAAACTAAAAGATGTTTGCGATATCGATCTCTATAATTTTTGTTTTTTACATAATTTCTCTAAAATGAACCGTAATTGAGGAAAAGTATAAAATTTAAATTTTTGAGTATTTTCGCTGACAATGAATGTATATAGAAAAATGTTTATAGTTTAGAGTATGTTTAAAATGTATATATTAAATTAACCTCTAAACATTTACAGAGGTGATAAAGTAGGTTGTACAAAATAACCGAAAAAAGCCTGTAATAACTAGAAAGTCCCATCAGGATGAAAGTATTTACGAGTACCAATTACTCAGTACTTTTAGCACTCGAGTACTATTTTGAGTACAATTTACTCGAGTACTGCTCAGCTCTGCTTATAGCACAAACAATGAAAAGCCAAGGACCGGGGGTTACCTGTGCAAAATTATAATAAAGCTACAAATTGGTATATCAAAAATTCGATGATTCACTTTCAAGTTCTCTAAGTCAGATTGAATTTTAACAGAAAAATATATTTTTTAAATAACTGGACTATAGTTTAAACTAGGAAGAAGTGGTTTGCATCATTAAATTTCTCTTTAAATTCTCTACAAAATGGTTTTTAAAAAGTCACTGCTGATTAGTCCGTAAGGCCAGAAAATCAGATTTTCAGATCAAATTTGGAAAAATTTTAACAGAAACAAGTTAGGACACACGTTTATTTCATCAAATATGACAAGGAATTACCAACTGAAATTAGTCACATCAAGATGTATACTTAGAGAGGTAAAAATAAAACTTGCAAATACTAATTTTAAAATCTGAACAATAAAAAATGTTTCTCCTTGTTTAAACTACAACACTTATTAGATAATATACTATCAATAATTTGTTAAATATTTAACTGATGCTGTTTCCTTGTTGATGCATTCACAAAGAAACAAAAATAAAAATATTGTATTAGATACTAGATCTAATTATTTAAAATTATTACAAGTAAAGAATGGGTCATAAAAATCCATCTGGGTCGCAATAGTAGGCGATAATATAATTCCACTCATTTTCAACGTAATCCAACAAGTAAAAAAGTAGAGGTACAATAATAAGAATATAAATATTTTTTTACGTAAAAGTACTACAGTTGAATATACAGGGTGAGTCGGAAGGAGCGCACCAAACTCTAGGAGTATATTATACACGTGAAAATAATGTAAAAAAACTCATATGTTCTTATCCGATTTTCATTTATTTTCAAGTTATAGCATATTAACAAATAAACAAATTTACACATAAAAATTATCTTATTCATAGCGTTCTTTCAATAAATGTTCAAAAGTACCACCATTGACTTCTAAACATTCAAAATTAAACGTTCACTTACTGTACACTGACAGTTCATCAAAACGTCAGAATTATCAAATGCCTTTGAGCCTTGAACATATGGCATACTTTGATAATGTTAAAATTCAGAAGCGGAAAGCTAGATGAACATTTTTAATTACGTCATAACTTGAAAACAAATGAAAATCGGATAAGAACATATGAGTTTTTTACATTATTTTCACGTTTATAATATACTCCTAGAGTTTAGTGCGCTCCTCCCGACTCACCCTGTATAAATAATGGGCAATAACGATATGTGCGAAAAATACTGTCATTTGTTATTAAAATATTTGATTGGCATAGTCTATGATAAAAGAAATTAATCCTTCGTTTAAAGGAATCGCATATTGCAACTCTGTCAGTATTCGCCTATAAATAAATTATTATTTCTGGATTTAACTATAAAATCACAAAAACGAACGATTTATAAATAAATATATATGTAAAATGTTACTTACAAAGCCAAACAAGAAAATAAAACTTAAATTGAACTTCATTTCCATCATAATTATAATGACTGAAAATTGTTAATCTTTATTTTATTATAGAATGTAAACTTTTATATTATTATTTTAGTAAAAAAATAAGACCTACTGGACCCATTATTGAACTTGAAAATCAAAACATTATTTATTTGCTAACATTTGATTTCAAAATTTATGCGAATGTACGTAATTAATTCGTTTTTGATAATTTTTTAGTTAAAACTGCACGTGTTATCTCTCTGATTACGTCTTATAATAGCTATAATAAAACTGTTATGAGTTATATTGAAGACGTGAATTTTTAACTTTCAAATGCAGATTTTCCCTAAGGACATTAGAGACGTCAAGCACTTGCCAAAGGGCGTGCAAAGAAAAGGGCGCGAGCTCAACATTCGCAACTAGGGCTGCCAGATTTTTAGAAATGAAAAGTGGAAGGTTTTAATTTTTGAAGAAAAAAACCTTTATTTTAATTAAATACTTACTAAATATATAAAGATATTATTATAGCATCAAAAACAAAAACAAATTTCAATGCCCGATTATTAAAACATTTTCAATAAGACAATACAAGTACCTATTTTTATAAAAATTAACAACAGGTGGGGGTTCACACTTGAACTAAAACATATAATTCCAGCTCTGTGGGATTTTTTTCTGTAAGTACAAAGAATACTGTTTGTGTTTACAGAATCATGCCACCTGGTATTCTGTAATATTGACCACTAACATTGGATGTCTGTTATATAAATCAAATATAAATATATAAAAAAAATATACATAAATTAACAAAAAAATGCTTACATTAAAATAGTTAAACTTCTTAAAAGAATATCAAATTCCTATTGTACCCAATTATTTATTCTAAAATTACAAATATTTTGAACTGTTTCCCACTTTTCCTTCCTTTTGCAAAATTTTTGCAAAATCTTGGCACATTTCAGTATAATTAAATTTAATCATTAGTTCAGATTCGTTTCTATAGAAAGAGCATTTCTATCTTTCCTGCAGGCTACAAGCATTAGACTAAAAATACTTTAACTCATCGCGTTTGAGTGAGGTAGAGAAAAAACTTAAGAGCAAATTTTGAAAAAATTTGGAGATGTATGGCTCTAAAAATAATAAACCCATTGCTGGTCAATTTTAATGTCTTTACAATTTAGTGGTGGGTTTTCCAAATATGATGACAACTTTACAAATTCTTCTAAAAGTAGGTCAATATTTACACCAATTTAGGGATTGTTTTCAAATCTATCGCGCCCAGATATATAAAAGATCGCGCTTGTAGAGATTACGATATGGGCGAAATGACCGATAATTTGATAGTATCGTTAGCATAATAATAATTTTTTAATATCTATTCAATGTAAATTCGGCGTAAATTAGGAGATTTCTGAAAAATCGGGAGGTTTAAAGCTTAGTTTAAAAAGCGGGAGGGAATGTGAAAAATCGGGAGACTCCCGCCTAAATCGGGAGGTATGGCAGCCCTCCCTATTCGCAACGCCAACGCCATAAAATTTAGCTAAAAAATCTGATGTGTCCAACACATGACTTTCCTATCTAGTTATTATAGGCTTTTTCTGGTTATTTTGTACAACCTATTGCAGCACCTCTATAAATGTTTAGAGGATAAACTAAATATATACATTTTCCACATACATTTACCTCGAAACATTTTTCTATAGATATTCATTGAAAACGAAAATACTGAAAAATTTTAATTTAGCACTTTTCCTACCATTTTTTCCATTTTAAAAAATCATGTATAAACAAAAATTATAGAGATCGATATCGCAAACAACTTTTAGTTCAATAATTTTCATAAAAATCAGAATTTTGCACATTTTGTCAAATTTCTCGAATAAGGACCACGTCAGGAAATTTTGACATAAAACAAAAAGTATAGATAATAATATTAGAAGTAACTTTTATTTGAACAATTTTCTTCTCCAAACATAAATAACAGATATATTCCATAAAATATAAAAACGGCCTCCTATAAAGTACCCCCTAGATGTTCCGACTCTGCCCAAAATCTAATCAGTTTATTGGACGCTGGAATTAAGCTTAAGTATAATTTGGTGTTTTTCTGTGTATCGGTTCATGAGTTATGGTGGATACAGACACACATACAGACATCATCGCGAAAATACTCAAAACAGATTCAGGTGACCTCAAAACGTAAAAATCCATCGAAACATCGAGGTTGAAAAAAATCATGATTCCTATAGTTTCCTTATATCTGTATACAGATAGGAATGTAAAAATAGTCCGATTATGTAATATTTGTAGTAATTTTTATATACCATGAAAATACAATAAAGTTTTATACTGGGTGAGACATTTAATTTTTATTTCCGTGCTAGAATATAAATAATATTGGTAAACGGCGAAATTTTCTGTGATTCTTTTAAATTATTTGGCCAATCATCTTCAGCTCTTTCAAGATTATAAACACACTTGCAATCTTTTGTCTACACATGTTTAAAGCTAGGCAGTAATTGCCTCGATAGTGCTTTAAGCGCAACAGTGCTTCGAGCACAGTACTTGTAAGCACTTTTAAAATACACTGCTAGGTAATTTGTGATTAAAGCCTTTTATAAAAAGTACTTGGCAATTGGTAATTAAATTTCGCATTTCAAGCCATTTAAAATGCTTGCAAACACTTAAATGGCTTGCAAGCACTAAAGGACTTGCAAGCATAACTAGATTTGAGTGATTGCTTATAAATTAACACAGGTTTTTGTATTTAGTTTGTTGTTTTTCATTTTTATCCAAATTTCTTATAGTCCGAGACCCCAAAAAAAAAATTGTGAAGAAAGTGTTAATGACAAAATGTCTTTTTGAACACCAGGTATACTTTTATTAATTGATCACTGCTGTAAATGGTTGCCATGGTAATTTTAGTATATAGTTCGAAAAATATGCAAAAATAGCGAATTTAGGAAATTTTATTTATTTTTTTTTTCAATCTGTTAACATCGGAGTCCTGAAAGAACTATTAAGGACAAGTAGTTATTAGCTATTGTGTGTAACATTTATTGAATAATATTGTTTGTCCTGGTTCTTCTTCACTCATATCGAACTAAGTAATAGGACCATATTATTTAGACGAAAAAAAAAAAATGAGAAATATAGACCTTTTCATCATGTGATGAGCGCAAGCGCAGCCGCCATGTTAAAATAGCGCCAATTCAAAAGTTTCGTACTGTTTTGATCAACAATGGCTGGAAAAGCAATATTATTTCTACATAAAAATCAATCATTAGGAAAAATCGTTGATGATGATTTACATTTTTATAACTCTGTGGAAGCACATAGTTGTAAGCAATTAAAAAAGTTCTTGAAGTGACGTGGACGTTCGGAACAAGGAAAAAAGTATGGTAATTCAGAGGTTAGGTTTCAATACATTTTAACTGTGTCTAATTAATTATGCCAACCAACTATTAATAATTGCAAAAACACTTTATCATGAAAGTTAATCACTAGTATAATTAATAAGGTAAATTATTGTAACTTGACAAACCGGGCCCTAACCTAGTTTTCCAAATACCCTTAACCTTGGCCTAAATTTCGTCTAGTGGATCCCCACGAAGTGAAGTTATAACCCCCAGAATTACGTTTAGAGTTCAATGTAGCTGTAATGGAGGAAGAACAAAGTAAACACGGAGATTAATTTGGAATACTGTTTATTTAACATTTATTCTTTTGTACAGCCAGACATTTAGATTATGTGCCGTTTTTAGGCTTAACATTATGTTTATGTAGGCTTTCCAATGTGTCATTTTTAACCTCAGAGCTTTTAGTTCCCATAAAAGGGTAAAATAAAAGTCGGAAGTACTTTGGTATATTTGTTTGTCTCCTAATATATAATCACACCTTTCCAGGGAAATACTGAATCACGCATTGTCTAATAAAAGAGAGTACAGCGGTAGCACGAGGAGTTCGGTGAAATATAAGATATTGTTTGTAACATGTGTAAAAACCGGAGTGTAGATTCATCTCACCGTGCGTCACGCCTTTACCTAATATTCCAATGCCATTATGTACTGACATACTCAGTCCTGTATGGAAAACACTGAACGGTCGATCGGAGAACACCTGATATAAAGGGGGATGCCCGTTAGGCCCACTTTTGGGGTATCTCAGTACAACCTCAGAAAACAGTTCTAGGAGCGAAATCTGGTTCTATTCAATGTGTATCTGCTTGGTTAACCTGACTATATATCTCCTTTTACTTATATATAAAATATAAGAAAAAGGTGGTCATCCTAAGGACAACTGGATATCTATGCAGAAGCCGTTGAGAAACTAATTTCTTTACTCCGTCGATATCTTTTATTTCCGTTCTTAAAATATAACAAAAGTGCGACCACCGTAAGGGTAGCGATATCTCTTTTTAATTATATTTGAAGAATATAAAGAAAAATGAGTCACCGTAAAGGTAACGTGGATATTTGCGTTTTTTGTTGACTTGACTCGGAGAAGAAGAAAAAACTAATCTACCCTAGCCCACAAAAACCCTGGTATTTATACTTAAATTTCCCATATATGCAAATGTATCGGAAAGAGAACGACTGTTACTTCGGTGCCTGAAGACTATAAAGCTCTGTATTAATTCCTGAATATAGCCCTAACATCTTACATCTGTTTTGTTCTAGCGACCGTTAGAGTCTACACGTCGACTTCTTTTTCCAGTAGTAATTAAACGGCGCCTACGAGGCGGGATACGCTAGGATGTTGTATAAATTCGAAACGAAAATTTGAATATAATATGTAATATATAAGAATTATTTAAATTAATTATCAACCCCCAGTTGTCGGATTTCATTATTTAAAATTTTAAGGATCAACATGACATTTTTAATATTACTGTGTATTAGTGTGTATACCGAAGTGGTATTTAATATTAAAAAATATTGTGTAATACCAGACAAGGATTTTCTTCTGTTGAACTACTTTCTCCATGAAAATGTAGTAAAGAAATATAAGTATCTTTAGTAACATCATCCATCAATCGATCGAAAACCTTTGTCACTTTGACCACATTTTTTCACTTATAATTCTCATTTTGAACATGTTTTAATATATATTTTGCC